TTTTTTTTTTTTTGTTTTTTTTCCAAATTTGAAGAAATGCTCAATTTTATAGGTACCAAGAAACGCATCACGATTTTAATTTTTCCCTTTTCCTCCCCTTTTCTCTGCCTTGTTCAAAGTGATTTGGAAAAGATCTAATTTTATGAATAAACATGACTTGCTACCAAACTCTGCCAGTTTCATTTTGTCACTGAAGCCACTAAACTCATTCAGAATCATGTCTGATGAATTGATCAACATTGACCACAATTACGGGGTTACCTGAACCAGTAAACAAGAAAAAAAAAGAGATGTGTTGTTTTAATTCTTCTCCTTCCCTAATCTTCCCCGCCAACCTCGCTCCCAAAAAATAACAAGAAGTACGATTTGAATAAGTGGCAAACTGCTCAACTTTATAACAAGGCCAGATTTGCTGCCCACAAGTCATCGATATACTCTGTGGACAGCTAGTTTTTTTTGGCTGTTTCTTCTGCCTTTTATTAACTGATTACTCCAACAAGAAGAAAGCCTTAAACTCCAAGAACATTTGTGGTAGGAAGCAGTGCAGCAAAAAAAGGTGTAGATGTTAAAAGTGGAGAAACTTTTTGGGTTAATGCCAGTTTATGGACAATTCGTTCTGAGCTTATTTTCTTCTTTGTTTATTTATTTTTTGTTCTTCATGCTATACCCGTCCTTCATTCAAAAAATATGCGCTAAAGTTATTGGTCATCAGTCTGTCTGTACGTTAACTGACTGATTCCTCCAACACACTGCTAATCGCAGCTATTCAAAACGTTTCCACGTTTTCTTGATACTCTTTCTTTTACTTCCATCTTAAAGATGTGTTTTCCATTGGCACATTTCATTGTCCTTCCACAGTACGGTTTGCTACTTTTCCTTTTTCCTTTTTTTTCCATTTTTATACTATTAAACGCTAAAGAGAGCAATTTTTTGTTCTTTTCTTTTGATCTAATCAGTTCTCATTAAGTAGAAATCCCACGAAGTCTTTTTTCGTTCAATTTTATTCGAAGCCACTTCTTCCTTTCCCTCTCCTTACTCTCGTTTTTTTTCCTTTTTGAGAAAAATTATGATAAAGACAAATAAAAATTTCTTTTTTTTGCTAAAATGCTGATAACCACTGTCACTGAGTTTTTTTCTTGTATGTAAATCTTTACGTCATGTATTAAATCAGGGAAAAAAAAACGTATTTTTGCTTTTGACATCCACATCTCTGGACTAATTAGTTACATCTACATCTTCGTTCAACATCACCATTAGATTTCTTGGACAGTATGCTGTAAACAAAGAGGTAACGATAAAATGAGGGAAAAAATAAAGATAAAGGTAATTTTTTTGCATTCAACAACTATTGCAAACACCGTTTTCCAGTTGCAGATACCATTCTGTTCCAACCAAGATAAAATCAATTTGCACTTCTACTTGTTTCCTTTTCTTTATGTCTCCTTGCTTTTTTCTTCAACTCTAGAAATCAAGCAACCCAGATAAGCGCTTACAAAAACTGTACCTCTTAGTGCTGAGCAGAATCTTGTCGTTTTGGTCACTTGAAATCGCACTCTCTTCAATTCGTTTCTTACTCATTTTTCAACTCCCAAATTCTTCTCATGATCAGTTATATTTGTCATTAACTGCGTTGATCAGACACACTTTACCGTATAATCGGCGTACAACAATATAGACAAAAAAATAATTCATATATATATATATATATATATATATATATATA